ATCTAGATTGCTACCAAGTACTTCGTATTTAAAAAAGTGTTATGCATTTTCCTGGATTGTTTAAGTTCAAACAAAGAAACCTACATTGCTACAAGTACTTCGTATTTAAAAAAGTGTTACGCATTTTCCTGGGTTGTTTTATAGTTGGGAAATTCTCAACGGTACTCTTAACATTTTTATTTTCTCAATGGTAAACATCAAAAAATAAATTTTCTTTGGTAATCACATATTTGTGTTATTAATTAAGTAGTGACATTAATGAGATTAATTTACAATTATAAACCTAACCATACAAAATGACTAACATATCCTTGAAAATTAAATTTTCCTTTATTTTTTTAACAATTAAAATAAAATCACCCACCACTCCACCAGCCTACTCCACCCTGCCCACCGCCCAAACCCAATCCACGTGCCCCCGGCGCTGGCCGTTCCCATATCTCCATCCACTGGGTCCGGCGCCGTCCGCGTCGATTCCCTCCCCCTGTCGCGATGCCTCATTTTCTTCCCTCTCAGATCCCCCACAAAACCCACGAAAACCCTTATCGAAACCATGAATTCTTATTGAAACCCACAATTTTGTTGTCGAGACGATTGACGGCGAGATTGAAGTTTGCAAAAGACAATTGACAGCCGCAAAAGTCTGAATGTGTTGAGAATTGGTGGAAGGAGATTTGAGATTTTGGGCGGATGGTGGTTTATGTGATGGTGTTGGTGTTAGTGGTATTAACGATGTCGCGGAAGAGATAGGAAATGGTTATGAGGGTGGGATTGGGTGGTTTAGGGTTGCGGTGACAAGGGGGAGGGGGTTCAGCCGGCGTCGGGGAGGGAATCTTGGTGGGCGCGGCTGGCCGGGAGCAGGGGAATAGGGCTGGGCGGGCAGGGGTGGCAGGGGGAAGTAGTGGGTGGTGGGTTTTTGTTAAAAGGGGTATTTTAGTCTTTTTGCTTTCCCCTCACTTTTAAAACATTAACCATGGTTAATTTTTCTTAAATTGCTTAACTAATGTTACCACTGAATAAATTTTACAAATTATAAATTACCAAAGATAAATTTGATATTTGAGTGTTTACCATTGAGAAAAAAATAACCTGATGAGTACCATTGAGAATTTCCCAAGTTTAACTATTACTCCGTGTATAAATTAATTTGCATTGACCCTAATATTATGACGAATCTAATAATATCATATATGATTATAGTTTTATTACGTATAAAAACACAAAACACGGACAAATATTAATGCATAAATAGTGTTAAACTCAAAACGTATTAATTGGAAAAATAGAGGTAGTATAGTCGAAAAAAATTAGATTATCATAGAGGATTAACATAAAATAGTTGGATAAATTATCTAAAAGTAGAAAAATTAAATTAAAATGAACATTAACTACACCGATCGACACGTAATTTTGTCATATTTTCTCAAATTAATACCATTTTAGACAATATTTTAAATACTTATCCAATGTCCGGGGCATTAGTTAGCAAGATCTTTAACATAAACCTAACAAAATATTTAACGGAAATTTCACCAAATGCCACTGAGCAATTTAAAAATTCACCAAATGTCATCGGACTTTTCAGAATTCACCAAATGCCATCCACTTTTTAAAAAATTCACCCAGTGCCATTAATGACCAACGACCTTTAACTCCGTTAGTAATTAGGGGTTAATCATGACACGTGTCATGACATAATTGGACCATTTATTTTAATTCATAAAAATTTTATAAAAAACAAAAAAAAGTTAAAAAAAAATACAAAAAATTTAAAAAAAAAACCCCAAAATTTTCCCAGCCACCCCGACCACTGCCAAACCCTAACCCCTCCCCTCAACTCGCCGGAAAACGGCCGGTCACCACCGGAACCACCAACAATCGGTCGGCCGATCATGTAGCTCCCCACCTAACCCACCGCCGACCCCCAAAACCACCCACGCTGCTTGTCCCGACCCCAAAAACCCTGCTCCCTCACTGCCACCACAACAACTCCACCTCCAAGCACCACACTACCCCCTTTGCTACACCCACACGCACCACCACATCAGCCACGATTGGCACCACCCAGCTCCCTTCGCTGCTCCCACGCGCACCAATTGGTCTAAATCCTTAACCCCGATGCACCGCCACTTCACCGCCACCACTACAGAACCCATTTGGGTTTCGGGTTCAACCCAGAAATCCCATTTTCTAGGGTTTCGGGTTTTTTGGGTTAAGTCGATTTTTGGTGGTTTAAGGTGAGGGAATGGGGTTTATAGGAGCCGGAAAACAGGGGAGGGGGTGGTTTCGAGGCTGCGGTGGTGTGGGGAATAAATTTCAAGCGTTAACCCCTAGCTTGAACCGCACTGTGATCATACACTAAAGTACGGTGGCGTCCAAAAGGGAAGAAGATAGAGCAAAAGAGTCGCCAACAAGTTTTAGGAACTTGTAAACCGTTCACAGGGTGAAGGTTACACCCCTTAACGATCCAAGAGATAGTCAACTCCATAAGGTCTTGAACCAAATAAGGGTTCGGGGATGAAGGTACAAATCCAACCTAAAAGAGATTGAACCTGCCCTAATAATAGGCCTCTACTTTATTCTGATCGTATTCATGTGCACTTCTTGACTAACATGCAATCATTAGGATTAACCTTAAACCTGTTTATCTATGTTGGTTTAATTTAATGCACAAACAAAACTATTATTGGCGATCACTTGAAATCTTAATCAAATTAACCCTAAACAAGATTAGCAATTATCTTATTAAGCGTGATTACAAGTATAAATTCTCTTTAAACATGCAATAAAAGGTGTGATCAAGCAATAAATATAAATAATGTAATCAAACAACATAAATAATCATCATGAATAATAATTATAATAGCAATAATAATATCATCATAAATAAAATAATCATCATCAAAATAATAATAATAATAATAATAATAATAATATTCATAATCATCATAAATTATAACAATTATAATAATAATCATGTTCATGTTAATATTATAATAGCAAGATCCTAGGCATGATACTAACAAGATTAATAACAAACCCTAGCATGTCACTAAGCAATAAAAATCAAATCTTTAACCCTAACATGATACTAACAATTATAAATATTAGGAAGAACATAGGAAACATCATAACAATCATATTTAATATTAAAAAACCCTAGACATGATACTAGGAATATCATAATAACAATATAAACATGATTTCAACATCATAACATCAATAAGTCAATTAAAGTACTTACTTTGATGCCTCGTACCTCTTTCTAATAACAAAATACACACGTTAGTAACTTCAAGGAAAATAATAAACAAACAATTAAATTAAATAATTGAAAGAGAGATTTGGGACCAAACCCTCAGAAATTAAACCTTTCACGTCTAGGGCGAAGGCAACTTCGAATATGGCTAGGTGTTTCTAGATCTTGAATGCGGAATTTTGTATGTAAAAAGCAATTTTAGAAAAGAGAGATGAAATAATGAAGAAAAACTTGATGAGAATTGGTGAATGGTTAAGAGAGAATTACAGAATTAATGATTGCGAATGAAAACTGATTGTAGGTGAATGAAAATGAAGTTTTTAATACGTTATTTATAGAGAAATCAGCCAAAAAGATAAAATATCAAAACAGAGCACTTGGCGCACGCAAAACGAGATTGGCGCACGCAAAACAGAGCTGGCGCCAGGCGCCAGGCCTGGTTCCAGGCGCCAATGCCTGGAGTTAGGCGCCAGGCCTGTTTTTGACGCATTTTCGAAAATCAGATAAGTTTGCCGTACTGGATGATAAAATCGTATCTTTTCCTCGAAAATGCTTTTTGATTTTAATTAAAACTCTGAAAAGTCAACAAAAGTCAATTTATCAATGCTAATTGAATTAGGAATGAAAAAAACCTTCTAGAAGAATCTAGAAGACTAAAACCATTCCTAATTGCATTAGGAATGATAAATTATATTAGGCCCTCCCCTAGATCATTGGGCCGCATATAAGGCTCAAACCGGGCCTAGTTCAGTAAATTGGTCATAACTTCCTCAATATTCATCGGAATTGGGCTTATAATATATCGTTAGAAAGCTCTTGTCAAGCTCCATCCAACTACACTACTATTGACCCATATCATGGACCAACCAAACTGGATTGACTGTTTTCTTAAAATAAGTTTTCAAAAACAGAGAGAAGAGAAAAGAAATTAAAACTATCTGCAACACTAGACTTTACACACTTTCACTTCATTTGATTATGATTCGACGTGAAAGGTACTCATCATCGGGTTTGGTTTTGGGGAGACACAAATGGTTGTCTACAGGTGATCGGGAAGGGGTTGAATCAGAACCGCTGCTCGTGAAGGTGGAGGTTGGTTGTGGTTTTCGCGGGTTAAGGTTAGATTGGATGGGTGGCGCGTCAGGTAGGGGAGGTCAGAGTAACAATGGGTGGGGGTCGGCGACAGCGGGTGATTCCGACTCCGGCAAGTCGGTTTCTGGGCTGGGGAGAGGTGAGTTGCGTGATGGGAGGGGGAGAGGGATAAGGAATGTGTGAAGGTGGTTCCGGTGGTGACTGGCCATTTTCCGGCGAGATGAGGGGAGGGGCTAGGGTTTGGCGGTGGTGGGGGTGGCTGGGAAAATTTTGGGGTTTTTTTTTATTATTTTTTGTTTTTTTTTAATTTTTTTAATTTTTTTAACTTTTTTGTATTTTTTTTAATTTTTATGAATTAAGATAAATGGTCCAATTATATCATGACACGTGTCACGATTAACCCCTAATTACTAACGGAGTTAACGACCATTGGTCATTAATGACACTGGGTGAATTTTTTAAAAACTGGGTGACATTTGATGAATTCTGAAAAATCCGATGACATTTGGTGAATTTTTAAATTGATCAGTGACATTTGATAAAATAGCCGAATATTTAAATTATATGACCCCAGAAACGTCCAACACCCACAGAAAAGGTGGCGAGCATCTCTGGACGTCAAAATCTAGATAAGTCTAGAGATGGGCGACACTATTTATTTACTACCCATTCCCACCATTTTCTCCAGAATCCTTACACGTGGGTTTGTGCGCCCACTGCTTTCTTCCAATTCTTAACCATAATCAATCAATGCTTAAACCCCCAGAATCATCTTCCAATTTCTCATTTATATCACCCTTCCTTTTATCCATACCATGATCATATCATATACCAACAACACTAATTAATTTGTTCAATACATTCAACAAAAGTTTTTGAAGTCGAATATCGATATCGTAAAGATGATGCTGGTGTCTGTTGTGGCGGAGATGTTGGAGGAGTACACGGCCGTGTTAGCCCGAGTATTGGAACATTTGTTTAACGAAGCGCCGTTACCTCGAAGAGTTCGGTTTTTAATCCTTAGGAATCTTCCTTTTTCTTCTTTACCTCTTAGCCCTTCTCTTCTTCCTCCTCCTCCTCCTTCTGCGACATCCTTTCATTGATTTTACTGTCATTTCTATGGGTGGGTATTAATGGAATTTCCTATCTCATTGCTAACATTTACTTGTAATTGTTCCTTCTCTTTTTTAGATGTTTTTTCTTTCATCTTGTAGTTTAAATTCTGCCTTTTGTTGTTTTTTTCATGTACAGTTTTGCGGGGTTGTAAATATTATGTTAATTGAGTTTTTATGTTGTGTAATCCAACTTTAACTTTAATTTACGTTGTCAATTTTTAATCTTTGTCTCTATGATAACAAATTGTTGCATACACAAGACGACCAAGTGTATGCAAACCAAAAGTATTCGACTTAAGGTCGTAGGTATAATATGATATGATATGGAGTAATATTGTATTTCGAGTTTTGACCTTTAATACTACTCCGTACGTATTAAAGATGATGAACACACTAGTAATGGTGCATTGGTGAGCTCTATTTTGCAAAAGCTATTCAATATGGAGTACTATTTTCTATAATCTATAAGAGATTTGACAAAATTAATTATAAATCAAACAATTGGCAAATTGATTAAAAACAACCAATTGACGAATTTATAGTCAATACTAAACTTAGACAATTAGACTACATATCATATTACAAAAGGGGTACATTGCCAATTGTAAGAAGGCCGTCTAAAAATAGTAATTTATGGTCAATATTAGTTGTAGTTGGTATTCACTAATTTATTATTTTAGCCGTGAAGGCACGTCAAGAATTTAAATCCATTTTTAAGGACTAATCTAAACTACATTGCTGTGAACTAGACAAGTATGTTGCACCACTCAATAATTCAAGCCATCTTGACAATGACTCAATGAGAAAGTTATATAGTACTCCGTATATTGAAAAATAAAAAACGGACATTTGAGCATTTGAAAAAAAATAAAATATTGTGTGAGTTCATATTCACAATGTAATAAATGAGGGATACCTAGTTAATTTCCCAGATAAACAAAATTTATTTATCTGGGGGTATAATTGTCTTTTCATGTATTAGTTGAGTGGTAAATGTGTAATTTCCTCACCAAACAGTAAAAGCAAAAAACAAACAGTAATTGGACAACTCACCAAAAGTACTGAATAAATGACCCTATTTTTTCAATATATTTACAAAAATGCCATCAGATTAACAAAAATTCGTTTATCTGGCTGTAGGCGTCGCTCGAAGTGCGCCTACGTTAAAAGCATGTGGTGAATATGCTTGGCACTCATAGGAAGTGGAAATTGACATATACGATTAGGGACAAGGAAAGTAGGGAGCCGCCAACAAGTTTTTAAGGAACTTGTAAACCGTTCACGGATCATAAAAGATAACCACGATAAAGGGACAACGATAGGCAACAACGATTGACCCGTGAAGGTTACACCCCATTCATAATCCATGAGATTACTAAGTCCATATGGTTCGGAACCACGAAAGGAGGATCGGGGATGATGGTACGAAGTGAGTCATGGAGTCACATTCGCCCGTATTGGCCTCTACTCGATTCTTATAGTGAAAAGTGATTCTTGCGATCTCAAAGGCATACAAACAAAATATTCAATTCGCTCCAAACTATTATTAAGCTAAATTGGTTGAATAGTAATGCAACATATTATTCTAAAATATTGGTGATCACTTGATTAAACAACAAGATTAAAAAGGAACCTAAACCGGTTGTCCAAATTATCTTATTAGTCGTGGTTTTCAATTACATATTCCCTTTAACATGCAATGTGGTGATCAATAAATAATAATAGAACAAACATTAATATTGGAAGCAATTTAGCCATAATTCCAACAATATAAAATCGTTAGAAAAATAATAGAAATAAAAGAAACATAATTCTTACTTTGATTCTGTTTGTTTGCAACTACAAAATAATAAACGAGTTAGTAACTTCAAGGAAATAATAATAAAACAACAATTAAATTAAATTAAATAAAGTAGAGTTGATTTGGGGCCAAACCCTCAAACAGTTCTACCTTTCACGCCTTGGCTTAAGGACAGAACCACGAGTAAAGTATGGACTCCTTGGAATACTTGAAGAAGGAATTTTGAAAGAAAAAGGGTAGGCTAGTGTTTAGGCTAGAGCATAGAAGAGAGAAAAATCAACTAGAGAATTAATTGATGCCCCGTACATCAGAAATGAGGGGGTATTTATAGAGAAAATATGCCGAGGGAGCACACGGAACCCTAAAATGATAAAAACCCTAGAAAAGTATCCCGCGACACGGCAAACTGTACCGTGACACGGGAAGTCCCACCGTCAGACGGGAAACTTTCCCGTGACACGGTGCATTTTTAGTGTGACGCGGGAAATTTTTAGTAGACGGGGAAGAAAACGCGTTAAGGGTTTACGCGGAAAAGACACGGAATTTCCCGTGTCACGGCAGATTTCCCGTGTCACGGGAAATCCCACCGTCAGTCGGGAATGATTCCCGTGACACGGTGGGTACCTGCCGTGGCGCGGGAATTCCCAGCCCGCTTTTCCGTCTAAATACATTTTTAACCCTAATTCCATTCAGCATTTTAAGTGCCGATTGACAATTTCGGGCCTTTTTAGATTTATTATCATTTGGGCTAAAATAAGAAAATAATTAAATAAAATAAAAAAAGGTTTGGGCCAAAAATAAATAATAAATTAATAAATAATAAAAAAAAAGGTTTGGGCTAAAATTAAAACTATGCTTTTACCAAACATCAAGACTAATCCATGGACTGTTCAAAAATATGAATTTAATCAAATACGATTTTTTAAGCACTCTCAGGATTAAATACTGAACCCGACCAATAGTGGCGGTGAAATGTTGTTCATCATCCGGTTTGGTTTTGGGGAGACATTTTTAGGTGTCTACACTGGCAGATTAACTTGTATTTTCCGGTAATAAATACAAATTAAGACATTAATATTCATATTGTAATAAATATGAATAAAGATATTTTATACTCCCTTCGTCCCCAAAATTTCGACCCTTTTGACCTAATTTTAGTCCTAAAATGATCGATCCATTTGCATTAAAATACCCACAAATTTACAACAATATTTGTGCAAAATTTACTTTTAAATGTTGATATCAATATTATGCGAAGTAGTAACTTATAATCTGTATCAATTCTTTAATTGCTAGCATTGACAATTTGATAATTCAATACGTAGTATCTAATATTTTCGATAGTTGATATAGACTTTTTCAATTGCTAATATTAGTATTTGAACTTGACATGAACTCTTGAATAGTTGATATCAACTACTCATGGAAGAGGAATGAAAGTTTCTCTCTTGTAACCATTTCTTGGGCCAATTAGTCCAAGAACAATCCAACTCTCGCGGTGCAGCAGGAGGATTAGTTCAAACGCCTTGTAGCGGAGGATCTCAAACTGAACGAGGCCGACGAGCTCGATTGATAGATGTGTGCATTGTCTTGCCATCTTGTTTACATGGGTTGGGACAATTAGACACAAGAAGTAGACCATAACGAAAGAGATTGACAGAATAGTCTCACTAGCTGTAACATTTGAATATGACCCATTCAATATCTTTTTTAAACTATCATTTCAAGAACAACTTTATCCATCGTAGCCTTAAAAAGTGTTATGTACTAATAGTACTTAATACTTATCTTGCGTATTGATAGTATGGTACGTGTCAATTAAAAAGTGACCGTAATAGTACTTAATACTTATCTTGCGTATTGATAGTATGGTACGTGTCAATTAAAAAGTGACCGAGAGAGTATTAAGTGGTGATATATATATGTACAAAAGAGGAAAGTATTGTTTTACCTAGGGATGTCAGTGGGGTGGGTCAAGTAGGAGACCCGCCCCATCCCCGCCCCAATGGGGCGGGGACGGGTCTCGGTTTGGCGGGTGGTGGGGCGGGGATGGGGATAAAAACCATACCCGCCATGGGTGATGGGACGGGGGTGGATTTTAAGTTGTACCCGCCCCACTTCGTACCCGCCCCATCCCCACCTCATACCCACATCTATATATCTTTTAAAGCAAAATTACATACTTTTATTCTATTTATAAAATAATTACATGAAATACAATATTAATTATAATACTTTGTACGACACTTATATTATAACACAAAAATGTGTATAGAATGTTTTATTTTATAATTCGTATTAATTATGTAAGATTGTGTATTTGAGATACGAATATTAGGTGGATCTTGGGTGGGGATTAGGCGGGTCTTTGGTGGGGATGGATATCCAAGTGGGGGGTGGGCCGCGGGGATGGTTTTGGAGTTGTACCCGTTGGGGCGGGGATGGGGATGAAAATTGAACCCGCCGCGGGATTGGGATGGGGATGAAAATATTAGGTGGGGATGGGAATGGGAAGACCAACATCCGCCCCGCCCCACCCCATTGACATCACTTATACTTTGAATGAAAGAAGAAATAGGAAGGAAGAGGATGAAAGCTAGATTATTAATGTATCTTATCCTAAACTTATTTTTAATCTACTTGTTATTCCACTCAACCATTTTCATTACTCCTATACGGAGTATTTTTTTTTCATCTTTTATTAATCTTTATTATCCCTATCCTTCACATCTAACCTCCATGTAATTGCACTATAAGGCCCTGTTCTTTAGAGCTGCTTTGCTTTGCTCTGCTCTGCTCTGCTGAAATCTGCTTTGCTCTGCTCTACTTTGCTGAAATTTGCTCTGCTCTGCTCTGCCCTGCTCTGCTCTACTTAAAATTAATACTTAATATTAAATTATTATAATAATAATTAATATTTAATAATAATAAATAATTAATATTTAATATTTAATAATAATAATAATTAATATTTTATAATAAGAATAATAAATAAATAATATTTAATAATATTTAATAATAATAAATAATTAATATTTAATTATAATAATAATTAATACTTAATAATAATAACAATAATTAATTATTGATATTTAATAAAAAAATAAAAAAAATAAAAAATAATTATTAATATTTAATAATAATAATAATAAATTATTAATAATTATTAATAAAAATAATAATAACAATAATAATTAATATTTAATAATAATAATAATAATAATAGTAATTATACTAACAGTAATAATAATATTTGTAACTAATAATATTAATTATAATAACAATAATTGATTTTTATAATAGCAATTAATATTAAGATAATGACTAATATTTAAAGATAATACTAATTATTAATTTTTAATAATAATAATTAAATAATATTTAATTATAATTATATTTAATATAATAATAATTAATATTTAACTTTAAAAATTTAATGATTATAATAATAATGCGATAATATTAGTAGTAGTAGTAATAATAATAATAATAATAATAATAATAATAAATATTTAATAATAATAATAATTAATATTTAATAATAATAATAGTAGTAGTAGTAGTAATAATAATAATAGTAGTAGTAATAATAATAATAATAATAATAATAATAATTATTATTATTATTATTATTATTATGATAATAATAATAATAATAATAATAATAAAATAATAATAATAATAATAATAATAATAAAATCTGCTCTGCTCTACTCGGCTCGGCTCGGTTGAAATCTGCTCTACTCTGCTCTGCTTTGCTTTGCTCTGCTGAAATCTGCTCTGCTGTGCCCAGAAGCTCAAAAGAACAGGGCCTAAGTTTTCAAATTACTCCGTATTATTTATAACTTGTTATAATTCCTCTTTTTCTCTAGGCCAATCCAAATACTATCCAAATAATTAATATCAAATTATTTCCTTTTCGAGTACAACTCCTATGTAACCAACTTAAAAAAAATAAAAAAATAAAAAATCAATGATGACAAGACATTTGTTAAGGTTAATAAAGACTGGTTCTATCTAGAAGTGTCAAAACTACATCCGACCTGACTAAATCCGATCTGAATCCGACCGGATTTAGATTTCGACTTGAGTGGACACAACAATTTGATATGACTCAACTTTGAAAATTGACCTGACCTGATCTCATCAGACTCGATCCAAACATCCAAATTGACACCTCTAGTTCTATCTACGAAACTGTTTTTTTTGGGACCAGCTATAAAATGTAGCATGATCATGACATGGTACCAATAATACTAATACAGAGAACATATTTTGTTTGGTGACAATAACCAATAAAGATAATGTACATCCAAGTGATATTATGTTTAGCCTTATCATATTTGTCCTGTTCACTGATTAAGATACTTTGTCTTTCAAGCTAATAGATAAACAACGTCAATTATTATGCATGGTTGCTGAATGCTGATAGTATTTAAAAAATTAAATAAAAGGTTTGGTAACAAGTGACATTACCATGAAGCTACCATGCAAAGCAATTATGATGCATCTACAATTAATAATAAAAAAAAGAATGTGTAAATCATTTTAGGAGAGGACAGAGGAACATCTATTGTTTGGTATAAGTAAAATGAGAGAGAAGATTTCAAGAAAACGTGCGGAGGGTATTGAGGTAATATGAATTACTCTAGTCTGTATAAAGTACAAATTATTTCAGGTCCAACTCGGACCCATACCAACCCAACCTAACTATCAATGTTTTTAATGGTGATTATTTTATTAAAATAAGCATATTGACAATAGAATTGAAAATGATCCGACCGGATCTAACCTTGAAATCTACCTAATCGAATTACCAGAAAATGACCTAACCCAAAGTGACCTAACTCAAAACCAACCCAATTGACACCTTATTACGATTGCTCAACAAACTAAGGTAAGGTAACATAGCATCTTAAAGATTAAAGGACTTCAATAAATAGAGTATATACATTGCATCCAAATCTATACAACTTCATCAGAGTTCACAAAGCAAATGTATAAGCCATTACAAATCCATACCCCATAAATTTTGTTCTCCAAAGACAATGAAGTTCAAGTATATCTCTTAGACCTTTACAAATAGAAACCCAATTAATTACCCCTAAAGAGGTAAAAAAATAATAAGCCATTACTTTACACAAGAATTCATATTCATTCTAGTTACTGCAGATGGTCACACAGCAACAAGAACAAGAATCAGAAAGCTATATCAGCCTTCACTCAAATCCTTTATATCGACAAAACTTGTTAAGCTGGATTCATCTTAGTCTAGTGTACTGCTGCTTCGTTGTCATCTTCATGGTTCACCTTCTGAGACTTATCTTCAATGGTTTCCTCTGAGGTGGTTATGGTGGAAGAAATTTTGTACTGTTCTAACTGAGAAAAGTGAAAAATCTTCGTCAGAAGATAACCTTCCTAATTTGCTGATAATCTTGTTGGGTTTGAATCGATAAATTGAGGGAAACCTAATAATCCACCCACCATCCGGGAACTAAAGTCGCATGTACTAATTTCAAGTGATGTTCGAAAATTAATGTCACTTTCCCTAAAATGTAATTAATCATCCATATATTTCCAATAATGCACACACCACTTTGATGTTCAATCAGTCCATTTATAATTTTCTTGTTATGCGAATAGGTTTAAGGATATAGTCAGATAAGTAACAAAGTCATAAAACGAATATAGGTGTACTTACCATTAACAATGGGGCATTCAGTCAAACCGTTTCATTTCTTAATTATGAGGTAGGGGTTTAAATGTGATTAAAATCCAGGCAAAGGGTCCACAACCCCCCCCCCCCCCCCCCTCTTGCACAAAAAAAAAAAACATATATTATCAATAGGATGAACAGATTATATGTTAGGATGGTATGCGTGTTGTGATTAAGATAATGGCCCACTAGATGATTAATCGTTGCAAATAATATGAAACGGAGGTAGTATATTCATTTGCTTTTCTGCAGAGTCAACATTTATCAGGCTGATGATCAGAAATTCAGAATTGTGCCATTTGCGAGTCTCAAACAGAATCACATAAACAGGATTGGTATTACAAATGTGCTGAATTGAAACAGGAACAGAAGCAAATGGAGCAAATTCAGGAAATGTGCCCATTATGCTGTCATTTTGGCTACTGTATATACTATCTGGAGTGTGATAGTCTGATAGACGATTCCCAAATATAGAAAGAGGTGATAGGAAGACGCAGAAGTATAATTCCTAAGAAAACTAGCAGTAATGATAGAAGTTGGTTCTCAAACTAAAAGTTGTATAGTTCTTTTTTAAGACACGTTAGCCTATTTTGTTAAGTCTTGAAGTGCCTGTACTTTTAATCTCATAGATTGTATGAAGACTTGCTTTGTCACACACACACACAAACAGAGACACGCGCGAACGACACACACACTACACATTTATCAGGCTGAAAGTCGGAAAAGAAAGAAAACCAGAGTAAACTATGACAGTTTCAGTGCTTGTAAGGCTTACATATATACTGCCGATGGAAATTATACAACAAACACGATAAAAGGAAAGGAAAATACCTGCTTACAAGTCTCTTGATGGGTGGCCAGAAGCTCCTTGTATTTTGCCTGCAGCTTTGACATCTCAGTCTGAAGTTTCTCATATTCAGCAACAGTAGGTCCCCCCAATTTTTGTTGCACAAATCTGTAAAACCAAAACTATAAAACATTAGGGTAGATGTTCATAATCAAAACAAGCTGTCATCATTGATAATCAATAGTTGTAGAATCATTAATAAAAGCACAGGGCATCTGTTGGGGAGTGGAATGACTGATTGAGCTCCAATCCCATCCAAAAAGAAGTACAACCACTCCAAAGTTGCCATAAAAATAAGTGTCTATAAACGAGTAACCAGTGAAATATATACTAATAAATCCCATAAGAGAATTTAAACGGTAGACAACTAGTGTCTCTCTACAGTCAACACAACTAAAAAATAAAGCCTACAAACCAACAAAAAAAATCACTAATGTGGCTAATATATCCTTTGGCAGAAAATTTATCATCTATATATCTTCCACATATACAACGTACACATAATCTTATTGATCTGCCTTTAAGCAACTCCATGATTGACAGAGGTAGGATTTTGTGAATGAACACATTTCCGTGGGACTTTGAACCTAGTTACCTACTCAAAAGTATAGTTGCCAGTGTCATGAAGATGCCAAGCTGTTAGCATTGTATCACTGGAATAGAGCCAAACGACTAACCTGCTGTTTTGATGTTTAGCTAATACTTCTTCCGTTCACTTTTAATTGCAACACTTCGAACAAAAGCGCTCAAATTTTTAGTCAATGTATTGTAATGAAAAGTGAACGGAAGAAATAGGTAATTTGGATATAGGAGAGCACACCAAATTATACACCATTATTTTACCATAAGGACTCTACAGTGAAAGTCAATTTCTAAGTCGATGCAGATATCACAGAAAAAGGATGAGGAGAAAAATTATTTAAGTATGATAATCTCTTATGTCAACAATAATAATGACAGGAGACAAATTCATGAAGAAAACTGAGGGAAAAGTGTAAGAGATGCTTACTCTATAGCAGAGGAAGGCTTGTTATCTTGCTCATACAATGCAACAAGAACTACAAAACAGATGTACAAGAACTGGTAAGTACAACGACTATTTATGCAAGAAAACCAACATGTTTTTTTTTATTTAAAAAACATATAGAATTTATCCACCTTAAAAGATCTTGTGTTTCTGCGCACATATAGATATATAGATAAGTTCATCAGTACATCTATGTGTACAAACACATACATGTATCTTCATGAGTACATCTATGTGTACATACACATACATATATCATGTATGTGTCTCGTCAAGAGATTATATAATTATAGGTAAACAGAATTGCCAACCTTTAGTTAGAGAATCAATAGCGCCGCTAGACTCTAAATACTTTCTAAAGGCTTCCTTTTTCGCTTCTTTTTCCTGCATAAAGAGGAAGCAGTAAGAGTCAGTAATAATACAGGACTAGTAATCTCAGCTAGAGTTTGACATAAAGAGAGCCATATAATATATAATAATGAAGAATATAAAATATAAACCATAAACAGAGTCCTTCATACAATGTCCACTAAAAATTAGCAAACTTAGAGGTAGACAAAACACGTAATGGGGCAATTTGTATCTAGGTCATAATAATATATGCCAACACACATGCACATGCGCGAAATTGCAACAAGAAAAACTGGAGTCTGGAGCTTGTCCCCCCGGCTTATTAAATGCTAACCTCAAAAAAGTGAACTTCAAGTTGTTATCTAGTTTGTGCCACTAGTATATATGTGCAGTTCCATGTCAGATGCCAAGTTTTGAGAGAATGTTGAATTTGAGTCTAGTTAGTACCAACAGAGGAGAGCTATATAGCTTATACCACTTGCAAGTTGATATGAAGTCTAAGGGCCATAACCAATTGGTAGTTAGAGGATTATCTCCTTAGACTTATAATTCTCTCCTACTCTCTAAGACAACTCATTTGTGCAAACATATAACAAATAAATTCCTCATGAATTGAGAGAATAATGGAGAGGGAAGTTAAACCATGTTTAAAAGTGAAGTTCCATACCAAAATTGATTGGCAACCGAAGAAATAGCACCCAACATTTGTAAAATGTTTGTCTTCTTTCCTGTAATGAAGACAAATCACATAGTCGTATGGAACATCTACAAAACCTTTTAAATATTCATCTTTCACAGCTTTCTATGATCAGGTTTTTTTTTTTTTTTTTTTTTTTTTTTTTTTTTTTTTTTTGGGTGGAGGGGGAGGGAAGATATTTTAGCAAGGTTTTGATAGCATGTTTAGAGTACACATAATTTACGCATATTGACAGCTGTATGACAGGGCAGCAGAGGTGTTCTTGACTTCTTGGGATGAATTCATAGGTTATAATTCTTATAAATTTGTAAGACTGAAAGTATAAGCTGAAAAGCATAGAGCTGGTAGTTCAATCTAATGTAAGATATAGACCTGATGTAAGAGATAACAGCTTACCAACTAAGATTAAGAATGACACTATTAAGGCGAGGGAGTTCAAGCAAAGAATACATTCAAGTATAAGAGTGGCAAGACTGTAAACATCTGCTTTCAAATTTAATTTTACAATCGAAGCGCTATAATTTTGTCCACATATACACATATTTAATACAATGACGAAATTGGAAGCTTATATGCTACAAAGTTCAATATACATTCAGTAGTCTTATTTATGCAGAGCCATCTTCAACATAAACAAAAACAAGTGAGACTTTAACCCCGGACACATTATCCAAGTGTTCAGCTTAGGCAATTTCTCGTCTATCAACTGAAAAAACTTCCCAAATATCAATTGAAGAATGACATATTCTAAATTAAATTTTCTCCTCCAAAAAGAAAAAATTAAAGTTGATCTCCTAGTAGAGTCTTCTCTAACCCCACTAGCCATCTCCTTTCTTCAATACACAACGCCAATCAACATAACCTTAACAAATGCCTAGTCCGATTATAAACCTATGATAACATTACTAATTTCCTATTGCAAGAACCCTCATCTTGTTTATAATCCGAAGATAGTGAAACATATATGAGATCTAATGTACCCATCAAATATTACTATCAAAATACCAATATACACTACATCATGAAACATGTATCTTCTTAAAATAGGAGTGCTTTAATCTCGAGAATTCCCACATAATAACACATGCCCTGAATATTTCTAACTTTGAGAAAAAAAAAAAAAAAAAAGTATATCATTAGTTCCCAAAATGCAATATGCCCTTTAGCTTATACTTCTCGAAATTAATTTTCAGTGCTAGCATTTTAACAAGGGACATCAAATAAACTTGCAACTGCTTTGATCTAAAATTGACCCAAATAATTCAAAGAATGCTGAATTATTATTCTCTTTTTAAATAAACCCATCTAAATTTAACAATATTCTTGCATCAACCAGCAATTATCAGAATTCAATATGACAGAAGAAGAAATTAGTGTCTGGTTATCAATTGTGAAGCAATAAAATCAGAAAGTTAAAGATACATTGGTAAAGTTAGTAGCTTTGCCAAAATGTAACAATAAAAAACGCAAAATAATGCATATGGATTTACTGGGTAGTTTGCAGATTTACAGGAAAAAGCATATACAGAAATTTGACAGATTAAAGCTAAACCAAATTAAGAAAATTGCAGATGAAATTGTTTAGGAGACTTACCATCATTGCTTGGTTTCAGTAATGGAGAAACAAAAAGGAGGGAAGCAAAGAGGGAGAAAATTTCCGGAAATCTACTTTTAAAAGTCACGCTTTCGCGTCTAGTATTACAGATTTAAAGTACTATGTACTTTCAAATTTGGCATGAATGAAGAACTGTATTGTCTCTGTATATTTATTTAGAGAGCCACGAGCGTGAATGATTGAAATCAATCCCAAGATCGGTTGAAACCGAAATGAGAATTCTAACCACTTGAATTATCCCTCACTCTCGTATTGTTCATATACTCTACGTTTTCCATTTGGTTTAGATTATATGGTTTATTGATTACTTCATATTCTACTCACCTTTTTTTTTTTTTTTTTTTTTTTAAATGAATATATTTTTGATACTTTTATAGTGAAACTATTTTTGTCAAAATTAAATTATTTAGGGTGAACTGTCTATTATGTTATACCCCTTTTATTTCATTATTTTTTTTTCAAGTTTATAAAAACTTTGAACTTAGGCCCATTCACTACACTGTATTTTTTATTAATTGAAATTATTTTTACTAAAACAAAATTATATTTGCTGAAGTTAAATTATTTTTACTGAACTTAAATTAATTTTATTGAACTAAAATTATTTTTGTTGAACTGAAATTATTTTTACAGATCTTCTATTATAACCATTGTTTAAGATAACTAAATTTTACTGAACTGAAATTATTTTTACTGAATTGAAATCTTTAAGGTGAAGTGAATAGGGCCTCATTAACTTATTTTTTTTATGTTTATTTTTAAAGCTACAAATTTTTAATTTTTGCTAATGTTTTTTTTTTTTAATTTAATTTTTTTTAATAAATACTGAACACACCTTTCTTTAACAGTACTTAAATTATTTTCATAATTTTTTTGAATAAGTGGAAGAAAACAAGATATATAGATAACTAGGTCTTTAAGAACCGATTTATGAATACCAAAATTGATATATTAGACCTGATCAAAGTTGACCCCACTCGAATATTGTCGGGTTTGGGCTACAATCTTTTTATAAATATACCACTAATATTTGGTCCCGGGTAATGCCTTGTGCCATTACATGAAAATTGTAAATGTATATTAAATTTATAACTCGGGCTAATATATTTAGTTTTGATTTCACCTATGTAAAAAAAAAAAAACATGAAATATGATATGGCCTTTGTGGTATGGTATTTAGTTATTAATTTAAGGTTGCTTGTTTCAATTTGAATGGACAAAAATTAATTATATATACGTAGTATTAATTAATAATATAAGTTAAGCATTAGTAAGTGCGAAATTTCAGATAAACAAGAAAGTATAAGAGAGTAAAAAGGAAAAATAATCGGTGCCACGACTACAAGTGAAAAGAACATGAAATAATATGTATGGACAAAAAGATTAAAATATATTAAATAATAATTATTGCGCATTGGTAAGTGATAAGTGGTAAGTGTGAAATTTCAAATAAACAAGAGAGTTTAAGAGGGAAAAAAAGGCAAAAAATAATCACTGCCACAAACAAAAGTTAAATTCTAGATTTCTAGCAGCACGCGACAGCAAAAAAACTACACGATTTTCATTTTTGTATTGCTTGTACAACTACAGCCAGGAAGGACTCTGTTTTTATGAAATCCCAATGGCTCCAACTGAAGCACTGTAAAACTGACGAATTATACATATTCTAGGAATATGGATATTTAACTACTCTATAAAGCTACAATTTAAGCCAAAATAATATGTCAAACCTATCTATCTTTTCAGAAAATTTGTGATGAGACTCAAAAACAAATCATAAAAAAAATTGTGCTATCTTGAACAGGTTAAAGTAACTAGTCAGAACGAGGCAGCAGGAAGCTGAACCCCGAATTGTCGCGAATAAGAGGAGGAGGTTCAACGTCTGAGATATCTGTTTTTTCCATTGATTTTGATATGTCATCAACAGAAAATGGAATACTGCACCAAATTGAAAGAAATTAAAATATTAGTCTCTAACAAACAGCATATGATCTAGTTTTTGTAGATCACTTGAAAAACTCTTCATATCCTGAGTATATCAAGATGATAAACTTGAGTTTTCTCAGAGATAAACATGTTTGTTGAGGAAGGCATCGCTACTAGTTTTTTTAAGTATGTACGGAGTAACACATAAACCAGTAAAGAAAAGAATTCCAGAAGAAATGGAGGAATGCAGTTCACACTATGGCAAGGCAAAGCGGGATCAATATAATTATTGTAATTCACTATACTCTCTAAGAGAAGTCAGAAATACGAGCAGACCTTGAATCATCATCTAAGAGGAAAGAATTGCTAACTGCATTGTTTGAGTCTTCCGTCATTAGGACCCTCATGTTAGATATAACCTGGTTGCAAAGAATGATTTAAGCTAGCAATTGGCCATATTAATTCCAACAAACTGACTGAAATCTATTCTCCCATAATCATGAAGGCAAAAATTGAGGCTTACCTCTGGACTCACGCTATGGGTGCCATACCTGTCATCCCAGTACATTGTGCTAATCCGGTACAACTGTTGTATACTTAGAACCTACCCACAGGCATAAACAGTGGTCAAAACTTTTTGAAGATATAACTATGCTGATCAACTATTGATCTTATTTTTTACTCACAGGGCAGAGATGATGGCTAATTTCATCCAAGGATTTCTTTGGCTTCTGATGTATTACCTGGGGAAGAAAAAAAAAAATAGAAAATCGTATTACCACTCAGCTCTCTTGCACATCAGTCATGATAATAACTGTCTGATAAATCAAAGATGATGAAAGGAGGTATGTTACCAGAAAGCCAATAGCCTGTCTAATATGCTTCAGTTCGTCCCAGGCTGAACCTGCATACTGCATCCTTTCCATATTACTTCATATTAAATAGAGGATAACTACATGTATTCAAAGATCAAGTAAGCTTAAAAACTGATACCTCTTCTGTTGCAAGGTAACACCAATGTTCAAGCTCAGCCAAACCGGCCTTAACATATTCACCATTACTAAATGAACAGCATTCACGCCTTAATAGAAGGCTGCATCAAAAGTGGAGAAAGCTTACATTATATTTTCTATCAAGAGTAAAAAAAAATCCCAAAGTATATAAATGAAATTACAATACCTGTTGAATAATTGAACATTGATGAATGAGAATATTTGTGTGAATACCTTTCGTGCCAAAAATGGAGGCACCTGAAACAGGGGAAGAAAAAACAAGCCAAAAAAGCATTAACGATGCAAAGACTAGCATGAAAAAGCATATAATAAGATGGATGTTCACTTAAGACATCAGAGGGAGTTGTACAGTTATAATGTCTATATTAGATTTTTTTTAAAAATCAAAACCAGTCCATTGAAATAAATTGCCTCATTGATCTTCCCCCTTCCTGTTTAGTTCTTAACTTCTTCCACCTTTTATGTTGACTCTCTTTCATGCTGCTTCACCTTTTCTATTCATTTTTCCAGTGGAGGTAAGCTACTATGGCACAGGACAAGAAGAAACCAAAAGAAACATAAGAACAAAGAGGTTAAACTAACATGATTTGCTTTAGATGTGTTCAAGAAAGTCCCGAGACTTTTAACAATTGCTTGCCAGTGAGCAATCAGTGCTTGCTGGGCTGCAGTGTTTGCAACTGAACGTGATGAACTCTTGACTAAACTTGCTCTTGATGTTCGTGGAGCCTATTTAAAAGAAGGGCTAGCTCAGATCAGAGATAACATCCAGGACTAATGACTTAATTTCAACTCAAGGAAAAAAAAGGAAAGTACAAACCTGGATGCACAATCCAAGCAGTGGAGAAATTTCTTTCTTAAGATTGTCTCGAATCATTCCATAAATCTTTTCAACGTATGCTGTAAGCTGCTGCTTGAAAAGCAAAGCTGGGTACTTGGCTTCAACTTGGCGCAGAGAATCTGTACCGCCAGTCATGCCATTATTGGCAAAGGCAAGACTAACTCCATGCGGGATTCCTCGGAAACTCTATATAGAGGCAAGGAGGATATGGGACAGTTAAATTTGCACTAAAAAAACCAGATCTTTCAAGAAAATGAATCTACTTCAAATGGCATAACTTGGAAAGATAAAACCTTCCCAGATAAACTTACCTGGCTCATTCTCCCAAAAATAGTTGCTGATGACGTCCTGCGGCGCTGTGGTGCCATTCCAGCCGCACTATTTGCCTTTAGTGTGTGTTGCAGCAGCAGAAGAAGAGTTGACGCATTTGACAACCAATAAGCCAGTACATCATTGTTATCCTGTGCCTATTTTCAAAGAAAACGAGATTTAACTTAACAAATTTCATTTGAAAGACTAATCCAGAATGTTAGCTAATATATGTTACATTATATATCTTCTAGACTCTTCATTATATCTACTTTGATTCTCATCCAGAAGCCTCAATAATCTAGAACCACTTATTCGTAAATAGAATGTAAAAAGTGAGAGGCAAAAAGAATTTGATGTGATATCTGTCCACAAATGGGGTTGAAATCATGATATTAACAGCTAGGAAACAAGTCAACTTAGCAAATTGTGCATGTGTTTGTAATTTGTAACGTAAAAGACCATGCAAAATGGATGCCAAGGACATCCCACTGGTGTCCAATCGTTGAACAGTGTCCCTGTTTCCAAAATGTGTCTGGTACTTGGATAAGTACCCATGTCCAATACATTCACTTATATCTTAGTAACATAGTGGCTCAGAATTACAAACCTCAATAGCATGACCAATTGTCTGTATAATTCGGTCAAAAATACCAGTTCGCTCCACTTCAAATGATCTCCAATGGAGAAGGCATTTGTATATTAAGCAGGCAGCTATAGGTCTGTTCCCTGCAAACCCCAGAGGCTGCACTATACATTGAATAAGCAATTCCTGATTCTCCTGCTGTTTTTCATTAAGAGATTTTTGTGGTTTCTCTTCTACTTCGGTTTCTCTATGATTCATGGAAGGGCTATGCAAATCCTGAAGCATCAAGAGGAAGTTATATGAGTAAAATAGAAACTGCAGTAGGCATAATGCAAAGTGGCCGAGCATTAATATTTTAAAGAAGGATACCCGATAATGCGTGTCTACAAATTGGTTACTTTCAGATCCCCTCTGCCAATCAAAAAGGAAAACAAGGAACATTAGAGAACATTTAGATTTCATACTTTGGACATTATTAATTTGTTATTCCCTCCATTCTAAACCAATTTTTCTAAAGTCAGTTACCATTTTAAGATGTCTCAA